AGGTTGGTGAGGGAAAGAGAAGCCAAGAGCCATAGCCGACCCAGGAGTTGACCGAAGGCGTTGACCGGAGGTGACCGGGGGTTGACCTGGGGTTGACCGCAGCGTTGACTGGCGTTAACCAAGGCGTTGACCAAGACTTTGACCAAGCTGGAGCCGGTATAATCTCGCCAAGCCTTCAACCTACCCCTCGCCCTATGGATGTGCACACACCCTATGGTACTTGCTGAGTCCAGTCTGTCTGTCTCTTCTTTCTGCATTGAGTCTCTTCTGTCTAGGTGATAGTACTCTGTGGATGAAGGATAGGGCCTTGTTGACCAAACCCACACGGGCTGAGTAGGGCTAAAAACTGTGTCTGACGACTCGACTGTCCCGGAGGCCTAACCCTCCCAAGGACCGGTACTGATCGGCGGGCTGCTCGGTGTGGCACGGTAGGCCCAAAATCCGAGCTGTGGGCTGCACAACAGGTCGTCGAAGTGTTGAGAGACCTGCTGATCGCGTTGTCCTGTCTGCGACGTTAAATAATTCCTGAGTTACGGGGGATCTCCTTAAATGCCTCCTGATCAGCAACATGTCTAGTGGTGATAGCCTTAGGTATAGGCTAAAGACCCTAGTTGGCAGGATCCCTGTCCGGATTCTATGAGTCTTAGATCGAGTTAATAGGTTTGTCAGTCAGGGGTTAGAGTCTACGTGGTGAGGTTTGGAACCGTCAATCCGGTTGTGCACTGATCACCATGGTTGACACCTGGAGTGGAAAGAGCACTAGCCCCTATACCCAGGAACAGCAAGAGAAGATGACCGCCTTAGTGAGAGAGAACAAAGAGAGGAAGGAGCTCATGAAACAGGCGATGTTAAAGGCAATCGCAGAGGAGCAGGTAGTGAAGATGAAGGAATTGGAGGAGGAGATGGAGAAGAGGAAAAAGGCTGCTGAGGAAGAAGCGCCAGCAGAAGCAGAAGCAGAAGAAAGGAAACGCAAGGAAGTGAAAGGGGAGAGTAGTGGCACGACGAATGATGACGCCGCCATGGAGAAGAAGATAAGTGAGTGGGTCGCTAATTTATCATTGGGAGAAGATGAGGAGGCAGAGTTTTATGTGCCCCAGAATGAGAGGGATGCATTAGCCAGTGAGCTAGCGACAATAGAGGACCCTCTGGAACGGCGAGAAAGAGAAGAAAAGAAGAAGCTGGAGTGGAAACTGAGAATGAAGAGGGAAAAGAAGCGAAGGAGGGACGAAGCTAATAGGCTGACCGAGGAGGTGGCAAAGGTACGGGGCTGTCGACAAGAGGTCCAGGCGCAGCCAGACATCTCTGCCAAAATGGACAAGATGTTAGCATATCTGGAAGTGTTGAGTGCGGTCTGGTTGGAGGAGCGTCAAACCAGTAAGGGTCAGGATGTGGCCCTGACTGCCATGCGGTCAGGATTTAGAGATTTCGCGCGCGATATGGTCACCCGCGTTGGAGGCGAAGTTAGGCGATTGAGAGACAGCGTGGGAAAGTTTTGTGAGGGCGCCATCGAAGGTGCCAAAGCGATAGCCGCTGTAGAGGGCGAGGCCAGACCTCGTAAAGATCCCGTAAAGCTTAAGTTCCCGGATGCGTACGGGGGAAAGGAGGAGAATTTCGATAACTGGGAGGCCAACGTAAATAGTTACGTGTACCTACAACACATCTTGACTGAGAAGCAAGTCCTCTAGCCTTCCAGGCCCTCAAAGACGAAGCGACCAGTTTTGCCAGATCCCTTGCGCGCGCAGCCGGTTGTGAAAACAAATTGGTTGCATACTCCAAGGTCACCCCCCTTCCTCAATTCCTCAAACTCCTGAGGGAGAGATTTGCGGACCCAACGAGAGGCGTTAGAGCCTCTGACAAGCTACAGACCATCCACTCACGACAGTAGAGGAGTGCGAGAGCACTCAAGGGTGTTATGGACGACTTGGTAGCTGTCCCAGACCATGGGGTCACTGAGCCCCAATCGGTCCAGTTGTTTCGTCGTGCCATGCCAGAGCCCCTGAGAGGGCTCTTCTTTGACAAGTCTCAACAGGCCGGCATCACCTATGATGTGCTGAGTAGAGAGGTGGTCCTGTACGAGTCAAAGTCCATGCCAGTGTCCACTTTCTGGCACAAGGACTTAGATAAGGGGAAGAAGTGGAAAGGCCGTACCATCTCCGGCCAAGTGAGGGCCAAGGATCACATGATCCTTACCTTAGAGGAAGGTGGTACAAATGAGGTCCCATATAGTCAGATCGAGTGGGGCCTTGAGGAGGAGGACAGTAGCGTGGGGCAAGGGAGGTCCTATGTTGTTGTCGCGGCCGGAGGGAGGCCGCAAGGTAGAGGAGGAGGCCACGGCCAAAGGCGCCAGGCCATGGGAGGCCGAGGACCGGGCGCACAGGGGGTTGGCGGACAAGGGAACCGCCAAGTGGGAGGTAGGGGTCAAGGTCCCCCGCCGAATCGTCAAGATTCTTGTCGGTCCCCACAGCGACGAAGTGGAAGGCCACCCCAAGGAGGATGGCACCCAGGCTTGCCACAGGGCAGGCCCTGGGAAGATTTGGGCTTGGACCAGCGTATATGGCAGGAATGCGTGGACCAGGGTCAGTGCGTGTTTTGTGGTGACCCGACCCACGTTATTAAATTTTGTCCTAAGTACAGATAGGCCCGATGGGCTGCTCAGCAGTCAAAAGGCAGCCGCCAGAAGGGGTCACAACTGCCCCTACTTCAAGGCCATGTGGGGAAACGAGCACGCGCATTCAGGAAACTCCCAAACCACATGAGCCTATGGTAGAGGATGCAGGCCCGTGCCTAGATAATTGTCCAGAGACTGCTTGTGTTAGCGTCTCTCTAGGCGCGTCCCTCACAGGCGTGGCAGAAGAGTTAAAGGAGAGGATGCCAGCCTGGGCCAAAATGAAGAAAGAGAGTAAAGGACATCTGATCTTAGTAGATGTAGAAGTGTTTAGAAGCAGAGTAGGGGCCCTTATAGATTCAGGGGCTACCCGTAGTTATATCAGCCGTAGAGCGTTGAAGAAGCTGAGGCTAGGGTTAAAGGTCAAGAAATTGGAAGACCCCATAGTCAGTGTCTTCGCAGACAACCGCACAATGCGAGTTGAGGACTATGTAGAGGGAGTCCAGGCGTACTTTCGCCTAGTGAAGGATGGGAAGGTGGAGAAAGTTCTCCATTCTCTGACTCTCCTCGTACAAGATGACCTTCCTTTTGATATGGTGTTAGGAATGGATTGGGGAGAGGCAGCAAGGGCCACACTCCACTTGAGAGAGCATGAGTGTAGGCTCCCTAGTCTATCAGGCGAGGTTAAGACGGCCCGCCTGTTTCATGTGTCAGGTGTAGATAACACCCTGGCACATTGTTGTCTCAGTGCTCCCGCGTTCCCGCGACTAGTGAAGAAGGAGCAATTAGAGGACCAGGTCTTTGTAGTTTATGTTAGACCTGTCACCGAGGCCAAGGAAGAGGATAGTTCCACAGATCCAACCATAGCCAAGCTGCTGGAGGAATTCAAAGATTTGACTGAGTCGCCGACAGGGGTAGTGCCGCGACCCATCCAACACAGAATAGAGATAGAGTCTGGCAGTAGAACTCCTAAGGGAGCAGTCTACAGAATGTCCCCTAGAGAGTTAGAGGAGCTGCGTAAGCAGTTAGGCGAACTCCTCGAAAAAGGTCGGATCAGGCCCAGTTCGTCTCCTTTTGGAGCACCTGTTCTGTTCGTCCCCAAGAAGGAAGGAGAGCTTCGTATGTGTATAGACTATAGGGGTTTGAATGCTATCACTGTGAAGAATGTTGAACCACTGCCCAGGATAGACGATCTGCTAGATCGGGTGCAGGGTTGCAAGTATTTCTCTAAGATAGATCTGAAGTCCGGATACCATCAGATAGAGGTCCATCCTGATGACCAGTACAAGACTGCGTTCCGGACTAGATATGGGCACTATGAGTTTATAGTGATGCCCTTTGGATTGACCAATGCGCCAGCTACTTTTCAGCGTTGTATGAATGATCTATTTAGACCGTGGTTAGACAGGTTTGTAGTAGTCTATTTAGACGATATCTTAATATTCAGCAGGATCCTCCAAGAGCATCAGGGTCATCTCAGACAAGTCTTGGAGAAGCTGAGACAGGCTAAATTCAAGATCAACGCAAAGAAGTGTGAGTGGGCCAAGACGCAAGTTTTGTACTTGGGCCACGTTTTAGACGGAGATGGCATTAAGCCAGAGGACAGTAAGATAGCGGCAATTAGAGACTGGCTGACGCCCCGCACGTTGACAGAGTTGCGGTCGTTCTTAGGCCTAGCTAACTACTACAGGAAGTTTGTGAGGAACTTCTCCACTATCGCCGTTCCCCTGCGCAGGTTGCTCAAGAAAGAGGCAATCTGGCAATGGGATAAAGACTGTACGTCAGCGCTAAAGAAATTGAAGCGCGCGTTAATAGAGTACCCTGTCCTCAAAGTAGTTGATCCGTCTCTGCCATTTGTCGTCACCACGGACACGAGTCAGTATGGTATAGGCGCCGTGTTGCAGCAAGACGACGGCAATGGCTATAGGCCCGTAGAGTTCATGTCCGCGAGGATGCCCTCAGAGAAAGTAGCCACCTTGACGTACGAGAGAGAACTCTACGCTGTGTTGCNACGACGACAATGGCTATAGGCCCGTAGAGTTCATGTCCGCGAGGATGCCCTCAGAGAAAGTAGCCACCTTGACGTACGAGAGAGAACTCTACGCTCTCAGGCAGGCTTTAGAGCACTGGAAGCATTACTTGCTTGGGAGGCACTTCAAAGTTTGCTTTGACCATAAAACTCTCAGATGGTTAAAGACCCAGGCCAAGATGACACCTAAGTTAACTAGGTGGGCCGCTGAGATAGACCAATTTGACTTTGAGCTCAAACCGGTCAAAGGCAAGTACAATGTAGCTGCGGATGCTCTGAGTAGGAGATCAGACTACTTTGGAGCTATAGTACACTATCTGGACATAGGGAAGGACCTGCAAGAGAAAGTAAGACAGGCTTATGCGCAGGATCCCATCTATAGTGACCTTCTCAAGAGAGTTAAGGAGGCCCCAGAGACCGAGCCAGACTACCGCACTACTGAGGGACTATTGTTTGAGAAGACTAACGTAGTAGACCGCCTGTGCATCCCCAACAGTGAGGAGATCCGTAGTCTGATCCTAGGGGAATGCCATGACACAGAGGGACACTTCGGTTGGGAGAAGACTTTAGCCAATCTAATGCGTGCCTATACCTGGCCAGGAATGAAAGCTGACTGCATAGAGTATGTTCGCAGTTGCAAAGTTTGCCAGAGGAACAAGACCACTACGCGTGCCCCTGTAGGCCTTCTCAGACCCTTGCCTATCCCAGACCAGCCTGGAGACTCAGTCTCCATTGACTTTATGGATGCCGGTGTCAAGAGTAAGCACGGCAAGAGCCAAGTCATGGTCATAGTTGATAGATTTAGTAAGTATGTTGTTTTTGTTCCCTTGCCTGCAGAGGCACGAATGGATTTAGTCATACGAAAGTTCTTTGATTTTTGGGTTTGTGAGAATGGAGTCCCGTTGTCAATAGTTAGCGATAGAGATAGTCACTTCACCAGCCAAAACTGGCAAGAACTCATGGGAGTTTACGGATCTAAGTTGTTGATGTCGTCCGACCGCCATCCAGAGACCAACGGTCAGACCGAACAAATGAACAAGATCCTACAACAAGTTTTGCGCATGTACATTAGACCCGAACAGATCAACTGGGACGAGATGTTACCTAAGGTAGCTAGCGCATACAATAATAGCGTGCATCTGTCCACCTGTCGCACTCCCAATGAGCTGCACAAGTCCTTCAGACCGCGCAGACCATTCGAAGGACTGAACAGGGATCAGATTCACAGGTTACCGCCCGATACCAGGGAGTTCGCGATACAGCACGAGAGAGAGTTAGCGACTGTTGTTCAAAACCTCAGGAAGGCCCAACACAGAATGATAGAACAGACAAACAAGCACCGTCACCCGTCTCAGTTCCAAGTAGGCGACTTAGTCTGGGTCAAATCTAAAGAGTTTGCACCTGAGGAGAACATCTCGCAGAAGTTACTGCCAGCATACAGAGGACTGTGGCCTGTTCTAGAAGTCAAGGGTGGAGAGGATGGACCATCCTACACGATAGAGATGACAGTGCACCTCCACACCTACCCTGTGTTTCACGCATAAAAATTGTTGCCCTGCGTCACAAGCCAACAGTTCCCATCTAGGTTATCCATGATCCCTCCGGGAGCTACGACATTGAGGGCATTGTAGATGAGGATGTGTTCAGGACAGGAGGTACAGGTCGTCCACAGAAACAGTATAAGGTCCGGTTTGCGTATCAGGAACCGGAAGACGACCGCTGGTTCACTAGAACAAAACTTCTAGAAACAGCTCCCGACATAGTCAGAGCCTATGAGCGCGATAAGAAGGGTAAAGGTCCCGCCTTGGACTGAAATATTCTCGGAGGACCTCGAATTTAGGACGGCGAGAGTGAAACGGTTTTCACCTCTTTGCAGTAGCGGATGCAGATCCCAGGGCTCGATCCCTAGACCTTGCCCTACCTGTGTACAATACCTGTGTAGACCCCGAGAGTTGAACCTGTGACCTGTGCATTCGTAAACAGTTGGTAGGCTGTCATAGGTCCGTAGGTAGCAGGGGTTCGATCTGTAGATCGGTGGAATAGAAGTCTTAGCGAGTTCCAAAAGTCTTAGTTGTAGTCCTTCTAGAAGGTCGGCAAGTGGGCAAATGGGCAAGTGGTGAGTCAAGTGGTGGACTAAACTGCAGTGCAGTTGCAGTACGACTCCGGTAGGTTGGTAGTGAGTCCCCTTTCAGTCAGCGGTAAGGTCCAATCAGTCCCAGTCCGGTCCAGCAAGTACCACGAGGGACTGTGAGCACCATGGGCCGATGGAAGAGGGCAGACCAACGAGTTTCAGAAATATAAATCAAGAGGCAGCGCCCAGCCATTCATTCATTCCTGTGTGAGCCATGCGGAAGCGCTGCCACAACGACTTGTGCTAGGAGGTCTGCAGTGAGCCCGAAGCTGAAGTGGGCGAGAGAGGTGAAGTGTAGCATAGCGATAGGGTAGATTGCGGCCATAGCCGCCATAGCTAGAGTTAGTGTGTAGTGTGTGCGTGTATGTGTGAGTGCAGAGTATCGCGTGTGGGATATCCAGGGTGATCCGGTGTATGTGAACCGAGAGTTGTTTGGGCGCTCAGTCACCATAGCCATCGAAAGTGAACTCGTATCTGGATTGTCATATCTTTGAGTTTTGAAGTGGGCGCATATCGCCAGTTTGCTGCGCTACTGTTTGCATACATGTAAAGTGTGAATGAAAGTGAGTCTGATTGTAACTTGGCTACGGTCGCCACATCGGTTGACCGTCCTCACGTCTTGAGCATCTACAGCCCCGGCCACGCGTGGGCCGGAGTGGGATATCCTACGTGGAGTCTGCAGAATGCAGCTACGCCAGCGTGACCTTTGAAGGGATTAACAACTGGGAGGACAACGAAGTGCAACTCGACCTAGGCAACTGCCATGCTGAAGAGCTCTTGCAATGATAGGCAATGAGAGGGTGGAGTGAAAAGCAGCGGAAGCATTCGGTGGGAGCAGAGAGGTGGTGGGAGGAAAAGGGTGACTGAAGGCAACGGAGCAGCGCGCAGGGAGCAAAAGCCCTTCACAACGGGAGAGGGAGGAAGAGGAATAGTGACAAGTGAGGTGGGGGGACATGAACGAAAGTTGAACGTAAGCAATGGGAAGAGAAGCCATCGCTCACCTGGTGACCTCTTACCATCGTTCACATGGTAACCGCTTACCACACCCCCCCTCATACCTGTTCCCTTGAAATTCAATGACACCCCCTCCTTACACCCTATCCTCCACCCTGGCCCTGCCTCACTGACCCTTCTGTGCTCAACTTTGACCTGTGACAGTGTAGATGACGACTGCACATACGAAATACAGCAACACACGAACAATTCATATCATAGGCACGAATACCCTGAACCTTGTGTGTCTGCATATGCACCTTGACATATCCACACCGTTTGCGTGAGGTACACGGCCGATAACGGTGTGACTTGTGTGGAGGACAAAAATACACCTGGGCTGACCCTGCCCTCCGGGGGTTGACCCAGCCCCGAACACATATATCTGCGATTGTGCCCTTGCGGCTCAATCGATCTCGCACATACGATGCGCCACAATCATGACAAAAAAAAATGGGCACAACAAAGTAAAGATGGAGGGACAGGAACGAGACATTGCTCCCACTCGGGAGGAGATGATTCTTCTCTGCTGATGTCTGACAATGATGGGACTGTGCCCCCCCGTCAAGTCGGGGCCCGACCGGAACCGCCAGGGCACCCTCCCCCCGACGATCTAAACCTCATACAAGGGGAGACCCCCCTGTGAAACACAACAACATGGGACGCATTGAGGGGGTGGGGGACGGTTGGGGTGCCGCAGATGAAGGGAGGAGTGTGCACCTCTCCCCCCGCCATGCCCATCCTCGAGATGGGATGGACTGAATTATGAATAACCAAGGTGTTGACAATTCCCCCCCATCGACGAAGAAGCTGGACGGGCCAGAAGTGAAACATGTTCATGGGGGAGAGGGAGCAACGACAGAACCAGAAAAGGGGAAGAGTGACGCCACATGGAAGGCCAAAGTTGAGACATTGGGATCGGGATCTGGGGTGCAGAACGGAGTCTCGCCTCCTGATGACAATAGAAAATCACCTCAACTGAGTAGAGCACTCTCAGCCCCTGCACAGTCGGATGCCAACAGGTCCTCTACATTAGCAGCCATGGCCCCATTGAAAAACCACCTTATTCAACAGTAGTATGTAGAGCCGCAGAGGAAGTTTCAGGTCAGGGAAGGCTACATCTATCCTCATTCAGTCTTCCCCACCCAAGCAAGGGCGACGAGAGATGCGATCTTCTCACACAGAGCATTACACTTCCGCTTTCAGCCACTACAAACGACAATCCCGATCAATGACAAGATCAAATGGATTAATGATAAGCTTGGAAGGATTAAACCAGACCGCCAATTCGTGCATGACCACTTCCTCATCGAGGTTGAAAGCCCCGACTGTATCACTGTGCTCGCCTTGTACCCAACAAACAAATATATCATACTGAGAAATAACACGCTGCAATTCAGAGGCAGGCCAGTGCAAGTATCTGCGTGGACGCCAGCCAACCCGCAGTCGAGTGATGACAGAAGGTAGTACCTCATGAAATCTAACTTCTGGGTTGAGTTTAGATTTGCTCCCCTCTGCGTGCAAGCAGCAATACTCACCGACCTCGAGAACATTGCACCCGTTAAAGGTTATATCACGGATCTGCCACAGTTCTTGGGAAAAAGGGATGACTCCCTCCTCGTAGCTGTTGATTGGGACCCAGAATTTCCTTTCCCTCTCAATGAGGAATGGAGATACTCTCATGGGGGAAAGGGTTTTCGGTCCCCATTAGCCACACCCAAGACCCGTGGTGCTATGTATGCAAGCGGAGAGGCCATCTTTGTATTGAGGACACATGCCCTAACAGCAATAGACCTAAAATCAGGGAACTGGTGACCCCCCATCCTACAAATGAAGAATGGTGGATCTTCAGAGCATATGCTGATGGCCGTCTTGGGAAATGGATCTGGCAGAGCGGGGGCCAGCCAAATGCATTCCCGTCTGGGCCGAGGGTGCAAGCCAATGATGATCCCAAATACAAAGGCAAATATGAAGCCACTCCGAGACCCGGGAGAAGAGAAAAAAGAAACCAACCATCGCACACCACCAACATTGGGAGCAACACTAGGACTCGAAAATCGGGAGCCCCCACAATGCACTCCAAGCTGGCCCAGACCAAATGCACATACAAACCAAAGCCCGATGGGGCCCAAGAGATCAAGCATCCACTGCACACCCCCTCCGCCGACGAGCCGAGCGGGTCACTTCCCCCGCCCCCCCGGGAGGGGAAACTGCTCCCCCCCACATCACGGCCCCTGCTGCCAGACAGGCACCCTGCCCCCAAAGGCCAGCGGACTGAGGGGGATAGATGCTATAACATACAGAATGCAGAATGGTCAAGGGCTCAGACCACCACCCCATTGGCCTGCCCGCCTTCAGGAGACAACAATACGGACAGGGTTGAGGGATTGACTTTGAAGGATGCTCAACCTGTGATCGAGGTCACCCATTTACACACACACATCCACGCCCAGCTATCCTCAGGCCTGAACCCCCCCCTGCTCCTGCCCCCCTCTAG